CTTTTGGGGGTCTGCTTGAGTCCCACTATTCAGCTGGTAACTCAGCTCATGCCCCACGGCTGCTTGCTGGACTACGTACATGAACACCAGGAGAACATCGGCTCCCAGCTGCTGCTCAACTGGTGTGTGCAGATTGCAAAGGTAAGCAGAATTTCACATGTTTGTGGTATCAGTTAGACAGCATCCCTATATATACTTTGTATGCAGCCTTATCTTTTGACTGTTTAAATGTTTTGGTATGTACACGTATTTCAGAAGGGAATCGTTTACCAAGAAATTAAACTACTGTTATTATCTATTCTGCTTTTGTTCTAAACGTTGATTATGTGGTGCACAAAAAAGTTTAGTAGAATAGTCAGTCTGATGATTTCCAGATCATAAATGGATAGTGACCAATACCTAACAAGCTCCAATATTCTGTTTGGCTGTGCATTAAAACTGTTTATCTGATTATTTCTGATTTAAAGTAGGCAGAATGCTAGATCTAACAAGCCACAACTGATGAAAATAACCATAATTTTTACCTTTTATGGTCAAATTGCACTGTAAACATCAGTGGCAGCAGTTGTTTAATACTCACCTAGCTGTGGAACCTAACAAGCTCCAATATTCTGTTTGGCTGTGCATTAAAACTGTTTATCTGATTATTTCTGATTTAAAGTAGGCAGAATGCTAGATCTAACAAGCCACAACTGATGAAAATAACCATAATTTTTACCTTTTATGGTCAAATTGCACTGTAAACATCAGTGGCAGCAGTTGTTTAATACTCACCTAGCTGTGGACTCTCAATTACTTATATGATTCATGCAGTATATTCCATCTTCTGAAATCATTTGATAGATTTTTGTGAGGAAAAATTAAGTTGTTTTTCACTGAAAATCTTACCTTTCACTGGAAAACTCAAATATGATTCTTGCCTGTGTGCATTAAAATGTTATTGACTTCAAACATCATTGGTTCTTGTCAAATGGCTATCAAATATTTGGAATTAAACTAAAACATCTTATTAAAATTAGATTTGAGTAAGATCTCCTATGGCAAAATGGATTTTCATGGAATAACATGATATTCCTGTCTTCCATGGCTTCACATGCACTTCACCTTTGGCTATTTCTAAATGTTCCCATCCTCCGTCTTCCAGTAATTAGATAAACAGATTTTTTTGTCCAAACTCTTGCTATTGCTTAGTCCGATGCTGTCATTTCAGATCATTTAAACAAACAGGTTTAACACCACAGTGTTTTCCAGGTAACATTCACCTTTGAATGGTTTACTTACATTTGTACTTCACATTATGCAGCAATGGGGGACAGTATAAACACACACACACTTCTGCTTGTATTTTCCTTTATTCACTTAGACCATGTTGATAAATTAAAAAAGAACATAGTATACAAATTATTTTGTTGGTGTACTGCTTAATCTTGTAATAAAGGGCATGCTGGGTAAATGAAGGCAACATGCATTTTAAAGGCTTCCATCAGTCTTCATTTCAGCTTGGAATTGAAAAACTAACCATCTGTGTCTTTTGAAGTGAGCCATTGAAAACTTTATAGCTGCATTTATTTTTTGTTCTTTCTTTTTGCAAATCCTGAAGGAACATTGGATGAAAAATTCCCTTAAAATATAATATATTTATATTTATATTTATATTTATTTATATATATATATATATATATATACATATATGTATATTTATATACACACAAATTAGCCATTACATAATAATTACACCAAATAGTGCCGCAGGTGCAGTTCACAGAGCAGTATATATACCACCCTAGGACCGGCTTTCAGCCAGTAGAGAGTTTGGTGTCAGAAAGGGAAAACCTGTCGATTTATCAGTGTTTGAAAAAGGAGAAATTATGATGGCATGGCACCTCGGAACTTCGGTCTCAGAAACAACACACCTTGTAGGTTGTTCATGTGCCGCTGTAGTATGTATCAAAAGTGTTACATGGATGGCCAAACGACGAACCGTCATCCAGCCGTGTGTCGTCCACAGCTCAATGATGCCTGAGTGGAATGGAGACTATCACGCATTGTTCACAGCGAATGCAGGGCCACAGTGCAACAAATCATCATCAGCTACAGCAGTGGTGACCAGGACAATGTGTCACAGCACACAATTATTCGCAGCCTTCTGCGTATGGGCCTGCATACCCGACGACCCAGCCAGATCCCCATGCTATCTGCACACCACCAATAACTCATGAAATGGGCCCAAGATCATTGAAATTGGATCCTGGATGATTGGAAGAAAGTGGCCTGGTCTGACAAATCAAGATTCCTGGTGCATCACGTCGACGGCCGAGCACGAATACTTTGTTTACCAACAGAGGCTTTGGCACCTGGGTGCAATGTTGGGTGGACACAGGCCGGCGGTGTTACACTTTAGTCCCCGTTATCTCAATAGCACAATCCCTTACAGCTTTCAGGTATCTGAACATTGTTGTGGACCAAGTGCACCCATTCATGCCAACTGTGTTCCCAGCTGGTGATGATCATTACCGACAGGATACTGCATCATGCCACACTGCCAGAAATGTCAAGGAGTGGTTCGAGGAAGATGATGGCGAATTTCTGTTAATGCCTGGAACTCCAAAGTCACCCAATCAAACATTTGTTTTTCGACTTGGAATCAACTACATCACCACCACCCTGCAATGTACGGGACCTGCTGTTAACATTATGGTACCAGATACCCCAGGAGACCTATCTCAACCTTGTCATTATATATATATATATATATATATATAATTCATTTATTTAGCTGGAGAGGTCATGGGGATTCCGTGTGTCCTTGTTCAATTTCACTGCATTCCCGTTTAAGTTACCTCTGTTCCACCACCATTTAATCTGTCTGTTGTAAATGGATTGGCTGGATTCAAGAGATGGTGCTGTTTTTTTGTAACTCAGAGCTTTGAACTTTGGCTTAATGGCACCTATTAATCAGGTTGTAGGTTGAGCAAACCACTAGATAACCTTGCCCTGGAATTCTGCTGGTGACACAGATCTGCTGTAGAGGTTTTCCCGGTCACACTGTGAAAATGTTAAAATGCTGTTACCAGCCAAATTCTCATTGAGCTACCAAACTGTTCCTGCACA